GTCTTATGCCAGTTGGGAACCGTCTTATGCCAGTCAGGAACCAACTTATGCCAGTTGGGGACAGTCTTATGAAAGTTGGGAACCAGCATATGCCAGTTGGAAAACAGCTGAGCCATTATGGGATGGTCAGCAATAATACTGAGCTTTGGTGTTGAAATTGGTGCTAAGTGCCCCAAATTATGCCACACCATTACAACACTAACACCAGCCTGAACCTTTTTTTCCATTCATTTGTTGTCGTATATGGTGAACCTTTGCAAATTTTAGACTTTCCTTTTCTTAGCTGACAGGAGCGGCACCCCGTGTGGTCTTCTGCTGCTGTAGCCCACCTGCCTTAAGGTTTAGCACGTTGTGCATTCAGCAGAGGTGGGGGCTGTGGACCCATCAAGTCATCTCTGTCATATATTCGTTCTGTCCAGCCACTGAGTCAGGTGAGGCCTATACAGTGAATTAATTGGACTCACCTGATGAGTGGCTGGACAGAACCAATACATGACAGTAAGATGACTTGATGGCTCCACATCTCCCCCCTCTGGTACTCAGAGATGCTCCTCTGAGTACCAAGTACTTATTTGAGTTACAGTTGCCTTCAGCTTGAACCAACGTAATCATTCTCCTCTGACCTGGAAACAACAGGAAGATCAGGAGTTTTTTAAAATACCCCAAAAGCCCATCTGGCAACAACGTTGATGCCACGTTCAAAGTCACTTAAAACACATTTCTTCCCCATTCCTAAACTTGCTTTGAACTGCAGCAGACCTTCTTGACTATGTCTATTGCGTCAATGCATTAAGTTGCTCCAATGCGTTTGGCTGTAGGAAATTAGTGTTAACGAGCTGTTGGACAGGTGTGCCTAATTAAGTGGTCGGTGGGTGTATAGCCTCATCAGGTTAAATGGATCTACCTGATTCATGAAGGGCTGCTTTAACTTAAATTTACTTAATAAATGTTATCCTAGGGAACATTATATTGGCATCCTTTGTGTAAATGTCCTAATTTGGGCGAAAATGCTGAAAATATGTTTTAGTTTTTGGTAACCTGAGATTTAAAAGTAAAACGGCATCATAATAACTGAGTCAATGGTGTGATGGTTAAAGACCCCGACAGCACACAAATATACGAAATGATGGTATTAATATAAATATTATGTAGAAATATTTGTATTCGTCGATATCATTTATGAATGTTTACTTTCCTGCTCTGAAAACACAGGAAATTATGATAAAATATGATCCCAGTCCACCGAGTTCGTTTAAGCTTCATTCTTAGACAGATGAATCACCCTGAAAGATCTTTTAATCTCTTCTTCTGTCCCTCAGAGTGTGATGAACATGATGCATGTCATCAGCATTCCCTACGCCCTCATGAAGGTGAACCCTTTGTCCTGGATCCAGAAAGTCTGCCAGTTTAAAGGTAACCCAAACAACCCTGTCATGTTCAGAGGTTCATTCATTTAGTCTTAATGCTGTACTTTTTTACCGAGTATTTTTAATATGTTTAAAACTGGTCCTAATCATCTATACCTTTAGTAGTATTGTGCTGTATGGGCTGTATCACCGTGGTTAGAGGGAAAAACTGCATTGATATTCTGTATGCTTTGCCACATATCTGGTAAATTCAAAATAAGAAATTGTCTGTTTTAAATCTTGAATAATGAAACAAGGGTGAGGAGAAAATTTCTGAAAAAATTCTTAACAAGCCAAAGTTGGCCATACAGTTGCTTACTTAGGTGATAAGCAACAAAAATATACTGATATATGTGAGACGTTGCTATGGTGAATACTTTCCTACTGAGCCCCTAAAAGGACACTGAAAAAGAGAGAGAAATAAAACTTTTTTGTGCAAACCAGTTAGTTTCTCATGCACAACAGATTCTTTCTTTTGAACACCATAGAGTTTCTTGTGCGAACCAGATACTTTCTCCTGCACACCAGTTAGTTTCTCGTGCGCACAGATACTCTCTTGTGCACACCAGTTAGTTTCTCCTGCGCACCAGATACTTTCTTGTGCACATCAGTTAGTTTCTTGTGGGCACCAGATACTTTGTCATGCACACCAGTTAGTTTCTCATGCGCAGCAGATCCTTTCCCGTGACCACTTTCTTGCAGGAGGAACAAACTGGTGTGTACAAGAAAGTTTTTTTGTTTTTTTTTCCTAGTTTCCTGGTGGATATACCTCAAATCTGACTCTTCTGACATTCCCATCATCAACCATGCCATCTACCCTGACAACTCAGCTGACTCACTGAAGTGATTTGTACTCTTATCCCGACTCCTACTACCCTGGAGACAGCTGTTATATCCATCATTTCTGCTAATGTGGGCTCATTGGACTATAAACCGAAGCCTTCAGTGTTAAATTTAATCAGTTTACCAACATATACAGCATATTACTTCAGGAAAAAACGTCACCTTTAACTAGAGTTGGAAAATACTGGCAGAGAGTTTTTGGCCTAGATGAACAAATTCGGCAAAGCAGACAGAAAAGCAGCAGTTAAAAGGAGACAGAAACTGATATTTCTAAAAGAAAAAAAGGATAAGAGTACAAAGTGTGGACATAAAATGCATCTAAAGGGCAAAAAAAATAAATAAATCTTTGTTTTGGTGCAGTTTTAAAATCACAAGACAATGTTAATGGCATTGTTTATTTATGTAGAAAACATTTAAAGGTTATTCCCCTTTTGTTCAAACCATAATTTATTTTTCTTTTTTGAGAAAAAAAGAAGCAAAAAAAAGTTTTCTTGTTTTAGTTTCTTGCTGTAATCCCCTTTGTTTGTATAAAATGAAAAATTAAACCCATTTTGTTGTGTTGCTACCAAAAAAGGACAAAAACTGAGGAAAATTTGTTATTGCTGCATCTGAGTAATAGTAAAGAGGCTATATATCATGTTTCTGATGCTTCTTTCATTTAACTTCATCTGTTTATGATTTAATAATTAAGACATTTGCTTAATTTTACATCACTGTTCACAAAAAACTTCCAGGAGGTTTTATCTGAATGATTAGCCATCTCCTCTCTGCTCTTTCTTAATGAAAACTAACATTCTTAATTATTTCTCATCAAATTTTTTCTAAAGCCATTTAATCTTCTTCCCGCAGCAAAGGTGGCGTGTGTGAAGTCCCGGGACATGCACTGGGCCCTGGTGGCCCACCGGGACCAGCGAGACGTCAACCTGGGCTCCCTGCGGATGCTGGTGGTGGCAGACGGTTCCAATCCCTGTAAGAAAACCATCTCTCTGTGTTTACAGATATGCTGCATGTTTAAAAAAAATGATTATTGCTATATTTATTCTTCCTCTTTCAGAAGTGTATCCTTGCTATACATCATCCTTTATATTTACAGAACGTTGCACTGAACGCAGCTGGTTGTCTTTATTGCCGTGGGTTTATATTTGACATGGAGTTAAATATAAACTGTAGGGAGTAAATACCATCTTAGTTTCAACCTGGCAGTTAGTTGGTTTACCGGAAAAAAGGCAAATTATAACAAAGAGATGACATTTAAATTATTTATGATGAGTTTCTGACCATAAAATGCTGGAGCTGTTGGAAGAGCAGTAATGAGCTGCATTTGTAGCTCGTTTTAAAAGCTGTCAGCTCATAAAAGAGCCTTTAAACACTAATTAGATGGAGTAAGTCTAGAGGTTTTTATTTGAAGGGCCTCCTCAGGTGCTTGTCCATTTGGGGCCCCTCTAGATCAAAATCTTCCTTTCTCAATGACCTGAGGCAGGCTACCTATGCAGCAACAAGAGCTTTGTTGAGCAGAAGGAGTCGAGCCAAAAATATAAGAAATGGAAACTGATCACTGAAAATAAACTTAAAACAACAACGGCTTGAACGGCCCTCGCTCCTCAGCTTTGCTCTGGCCTGTGTGTGTAAACAGCAGGTATGAACCTGCTCAGTTCTGATGTCGCCATGAGGCTGTGCCATAACTGTGAGGTTACCTTCAACCACGATCAGTTAGAGTTGGGTGAGAAGTTTTCAAAATCTGGCTGAAATCCAGGCTTCATCATGGAAGCTGTGGTCACTTCCTGTTTGTTGGCAAAAGGACTTCCTCTAATTAAAAACATTTTCCATTGAATAAACATTATTTATTAAATCTGCAGTTTGAATTTTTATTTTTACAAGGGAAAGGTCAATTTACACTTCTTTATTGTGCGAGAAAAAAAATGTTATTGTGTAAATATCACTACATTTGGTCATTTAAGGAGATATTTATATTTATATAAAAAAATTACCCTTAGACCCAAAATGGCCAACCTCCTCTTGGTTTCAGGACACACCACTGCTCTCTATTTATTCACTGGATTGCTGATAGGCCGAAAAACCTGAAATCATCAGTTGCCATCTTGTTTCTCCCCGCTCTTACAGAGTCGCACCATAAAAATGCCTGTAATCTAATGTAATTACCATAACAGTTCAATCAATACAAGTATAACTACAGTACATCATCAGTTTAGCACTTTTGGCTCACCATCAGATAGTGTGTCTGATATTCTTAATATCTGACTACAGTATTGTTATGCTCCATTAACACACTAATTGTTTTGATGGATTTGTATAATATGTTATATTACATGATGTATAGACCTCATGGACTTACTGAATATGAAATGTGATGTGCCTATTTTTTTATCATAAATCACAGTAATCGTCTGATGCTATGCAACAGCAGGTGTGTGTCAAAGTGATGAATTTATCTTTGTTTTAAAAGTCTTAAGCCTCCCAGGAAATGAGAACATCATCGTTGTTTTATGCTGTAGCGCACATATTTTTACACTCTGACCGGTCTAACTAGGGAGTACCAATATGGTGAGCGGTGGCTTCACTTTAACGCTGTACTACCAGCGTATCAGCAATACAGTGAATTAATAGAGATCAGTGGAAAACACCGCTAAAACTATTTTTTTCTCTTGTTTTGCAGGTCCTCTGCCAGCATAATAAAAATTTAATCTATGAAACTCCTTCAGTTTAGGGGCGCTGTAGAGCAATATGGCCACACCCATTTTTATTCCCTTTAAATACTAAATCTCAGGCACGGCCGCTCCTAAAAAAGTGAGTTTATTTACATGTACGCCACAGAATAATAAATATTTAAGTTATTAAAGGCTTAAATCTCATCTCAAATAGACGGTTGGATGATATTGGTTGATTCAGAATGCCTTTTTTATCTCTTCTAGGTAGGAACATGTTGGACTGCTCTGAGCTTTAATTGGATTTGTTTCTGATGGTTTTCCGCTGGACACAGTGCAGATCTTTAAAACCGAGGGACATTAATCCCTAATGAAGCTGTTTGTGTCTCTCAGGGTCGATCTCGTCCTGTGATGCGTTCCTCAACGTCTTCCAGTCCAAAGGTCTAAAGCCGGAGGTGATCTGTCCCTGTGCCAGCTCCCCGGAGGCTTTGACTGTCGCCATACGGAGGTAGCCTCACACATTTCACACAGAAAAGAGGTCCTCTTTAACTTCATTAATTATTATCATTACCAGCCTTAACATGAAGTATTTAGAAAATCAAAAATATAAAGATGATTCATCACCAAAGCAAAGGAGAGGTGATATTTCTATTTTAATATTATGGTCTAAAAATGTTTGGCCCCTTGTTAACCAGACAAACAAAAAGCACAAATGAAGTCTCTCCTTGAACACATTTTGCTCCCTCGACCACAGGAAGCAGACTCTGCTGCCATCGTTTAATAAAAGAGAAGCGCCTCCTTGCATCTGCTGCCAGTTAAAATCAGAGCAACCACCGCAGGTCTTCTTCAGTCCAGGCAGTGACTGATTTTTAACTAATCAACCTTGCTTTATCGCCTTCTAAAGTAACTTTGTTGGTTTGCACCATTAAATGTTTTATTTGATCCAATAAATAAGATTTAGAAAGTATTTCCAGAACATTTCCTCTCCCTGTGTTTGATTCGTTCAGGTTTTACTGGTTGTTGGGATTCAAACCTTCCTGTCTGAACCCTGCAGGAGTCTAACAGCTGCTGTTTCTCCCATGTTGGCTGTACTTTACAACATAATACAGTTTAAGTTCAATCTTTAAATCTTTATCAACGATGTTTCTGCCTCTTCAACCTTGTGTCCTGATCTTAGCTCAACGTTCTCACAGAGACAAAGATGCAAAATTTTTTACTTTAATAATATTGGTGAAGATTTAAATTTGGTAATCTTTCTAAAACATCTGGAGCTGGACTTCCTGTATTCAAAAGAAACTTTGACAGTATGTCACTTTTCTCCCTCTATTGTGGCACACTTCCCAAAACATAACATTTTTTTAGTTGTTTTGCAAAATCTACATTCAATATGAAATTTCCTCTCATTTTATTAGAAATGTTAAATCAATTTTTAAATTTTTACTTTAATTAAACTCTCAACATATAATTGTATGTATGTTTTACTGCCTATTTTGTCTTTAAAAGTCACTTAAAACCCATCAGATGGCTCGTAAAAGAAATAAAACCTAAATACTCAACAATCAAAGATAATAAAACATTCACTGCTTTTTTGAAATGGTAAGCAAATAGTCTTTCAGTTTAATTTAATCCTTTTTGAAATAATTAGGTGTTCAGGTTGACTGAAATAAAAAGCCACCCCCCCCATATTTACATTTTTTATGATTTGAAATGGAGAAAGGTTATTTTTTTTTTTTTGCAATGACTTCCTTCGTCTTCTATTTACCAGAAAATGTGTAAACATAAACCTATGAAAGATGTTAAGGATTAAACCATGTTGAGCGTCCTCTCTGATTGGTCCTCTGCTCTCCTTCAGACCGTTGGAGGAAGGTGTGACCCCTCCCAGCCGTGGCGTGCTCTCCATGCACGGTCTGAGCCACGGGGTGATCCGGGTCGACTCGGAAGAGAAGCTGTCTGTTCTAACTCTTCAGGATGTGGGTTCCGTCATGCCTGGAGGTAAACGGATCTAATGAGCTTAATGCATAATCACAACCTTTAGCTTAACATCATCATTGACCTCATTCTTTATTCTGTGTGCAGCTTTAATGTGCGTCGTGAAGCTGGAAGGTGTTCCTCAGCTCTGTAAAACCGATGAAATCGGAGAGATGTGTGTTTGCACGGTTGCCACGGGATCCTCCTATTATGGTCTGGCTGGTATGACGAAGAACACCTTTGAGGTACGTGTGCAAAGGCCGCTATCCTGTCAGTAATTGATGTGTCTTCACCTCATGTCCTCACGGCTTTCTTTACAACAAACCTGCCAGGTGTTTCCCGTGTCCAACAACGGGACGCCCATCAGCGAGTTTCCCTTCACCAGAACCGGTCTGCTGGGATTCATCGGACCTGCTGGTTTGATCTTTGTCGCTGGGAAGATGGAGGGGCTGATGGTGGTAGGAGGGCGGCGCCACAATGCTGACGATATTGTAGCCACGGCGTTAGCCGTGGAGCCCATGAAGTTTGTCTACAGAGGCAGGTACGTGGCGAACGTCTCACTGCTGATGGTTCCCAGTCCATCAGGAAGTTATGCTCCAGTTAGGAGCTGAGAGATGTGCTGCAGAAACACATGAGTGGAGGATAGAAGCTCACTCAGTCTGTGTGATCTGCAGGATAGCTGTGTTTTCCATCACCGTGCTTCATGATGAGAGGATCGTGGTCGTAGCTGAGCAGCGACCGGACTCCACCGAAGAGGACAGCTTCCAGTGGATGAGCAGAGTTCTGCAGGTTAACGCACACTTTATCCTCCTTGTTTGGTTGTTCTACCATATAAGCTGCAGGGTGCATTTAGTCCATATTAGCTTTTTATGCATATTTTCAAAGTCCAGGCTTTATAAATGGGAATGTGCATTTAATTTAAGAGTGTTTAGATGATATGTGTATTTATGTAGCATAGGAGGGCGTGGCAGGGGGAGGTTAGCACTCCTAAAAGATATTTTGAAGATATTACCACATGATCAATGAATAGTCAGATTCTTTAAAAGCAGCAGGGCTCTAACTGACCTTCCTTCCTTCCTTCCTTCCTTCCTTCCTTCCTTCCTTCCTTCCTTCCTTCCTTCCTTCCTTCCTTCCTTCCTTCCTTCCTTCCTTCCTTCCTTCCTTCCTTCCTATGTATTAATTTCAAAATGAGAAATATTCTTATATTTAGGTGGTTAAATTAAACCACACATATCAGTGTTTGTCTCCAAGTATCCTCAGGGACCTACTCAGGGCTGTAGAGAAGCAACTGAATTATTAAATCACCAAATGAAATCTTGTTTTATACACGTTACACATTTGCTGACAGCTGAGAATTAAATCAGGGATGCTCTTCAAAACTGAATGTTTTATAACTGATTTTAAAAGCTTACTTCACAAGTGTTCACTGCTACTTTCACAATTATTTTCTGTTGCTTGTACTGAAAGTCTCTTTGATATATAACTCATCCTTGTGGTACCAGAGCAGTTGAAAGCTGATTTAATCTCCAGCTATGCCTGATTCCGTGTGGTAACTGGTGATGCTTTAATATCCATCTGTAGTTTTAGGAGCTACGTTAACATTTTACATTTATTTCTTTACCACTAAAGATGCAAAACGTTTTTTTTCTTCTTTTTCATCTGGTTGTAAGCAGATTTAAAGAAGCTTAAAGTTGTAAATGAATAAGAAAAATGAATGTTGGTATACAGAAGTAGCTGAACACTCACTACTATCCCAGGGCTGCTGTTGATGCTGCACAAATCACTTCTATTTACTATTTAGTAATGTTACTTTAATTTATTTCAAGTTAAACTGTCTGTCTTCCATCTGACCTTGTTTTTTCTAACCAACCCTAATTATCAGGCGATAGACAGCATCCATCAGGTAGGGGTGTACTGCCTGGCTCTGGTGCCCTCCAACACCCTGCCTAAGACACCTCTGGGTGGCATCCACCTCTCAGAGACCAAGCAGCTCTTCCTGGAAGGGGCTCTGCATCCCTGCAATGTGCTGATGTGTCCACACACCTGCGTCATCAACCTACCCAAACCCCGGCAGAAGCAGCCAGGTAAACCATACCGAATCAACAGAGATTCATTATAATAACAAGTAAAGCTTGCTGGAGAAAAAATTTGAACATGTAATTGAATTTTTAATGGTATACTTTTCTATCAGAGTACAGATACAGAGAGCATTCATGGTGATATGACATTTTGCCAACTCAAAATATTAGATTGCAAGTAACAATATGCTAGTAAATAACCTCAGTCTTACTCAAAAGTAACGTTAGTGTAACCTGGAAGTAACATGCCTGTTACCTGAAGGTTTTTGACAGTTGCTAAAAGTGTTATAAAAACAGTAACATGGCTGTTATTGAAAGGTAACCTATGTGTTACTAGAAAGTAACATGGTTGTTACCAAAAATAAAGTGTTACCTGAAAGCATAATGTATGTTCCCTAAATCCAAGTGTTAATTCAAGTGTTCCTTAAAAGTAATCTATGTGGTACTTAAAGCTACAGTGTGTAATAATTACAGGGATATACAGTCAACAATGTAATATATTATACATAACTATGTTATTTATCA